TGCCCCGGGCCCTAGTATATAATAAGTAGAAAGTATATGTCCTTTATAAATATTTAAAATTATGAAAACATTTATTAGGCATCAAGTGAAACATTGTTTTTTTTGTCTTGTTATTTTGTGGGGGTATATGAACAAAAGAACTTGAAGATGCTGCTGTAGATCCATCTTCCGTCCCTCTTTCTCGATGACTTTACTCCTTTGATCATCCCCTCTCCCCTCTGAAGCATCCTTTTCTTCCTCTCAGCTGGCACATGTATCACGGAGTATCTGCACCTTCAAGCACCCAACCCACCTCCAGTTACTGCTTAACTGCGCCTCCATTCACAAGCTCTCAGTCTATACCTGCCATCTCCGCCTCCTCCTCTCACATGCACTCTTCAACCTGCTCCCACATGGCTGCCACTCAACCTCTGCCCCAGACTTTCTCTTCCTATACTCACCAGTGACTTCTTTGTTGCTAAGTTAAATGGATCCTTTTTCTTTCTCATCTCACCCTTTCGTGTTGATTTTCAATAGTTTACCATTCCCTCCTTCTCCTTCAGCAGTTTTCCTTCTTAGCTTCTAGGACACCACCCCCCCCCCTCTTTTTTTTCCCTTCTCACCTCTCTGGCACCTCTTTATCATGTTTCCTGGCTGGCACCTCCTTATTACAACTTCTAAATGCTGCTGTCCCTAAGGCTCTCTGTGCACTTCTTCTCTTGGTGATCTCATCCGATATTGTGGATTTAAATGCATCCATATGCCCATAACTCCCAAAGTGTATCTCCAACCTAGACTCTCTTCTGGGCTCAAAGCCTATATTTCCCATTGGCTACCTAATAGTTTAAACACTTGAATCTCTCAGAGGCATTTCAAGTTTACCATGTTCAAAACTAAATGCTCAGTGTCCCCACCATACAAAGTAGTGGTTCTAATCACCTAATTACTCAAGCCAGGGAGTAACCCTTAAGATTTCCCTCTCCCTTCTCCTCCACTCCCTGCCCCGCTTCCAATCTAGCACTGAGGCCTGAGATCCAATCTCCAGAAGTTGTCTTAAATGTATCTGATTGTCTCTTCGTTTCCACGAATACCACCACCCTCATGGCCAACCCACCATCTTCTCCCACTTGAATGATTACAGTGGCCTCCCAATTGTCTTCCTAGTTTCACTCTTGCCCCCTTGCAACCCATTCTCTGGGGTAGCCAGAATGAGCTTTAAAAATATGTATATATGTTTTTTTAAATTGATTTCAGAGAGGAAGGGAGAGGGAGAGAGAGATCGAAACATCAATCATGAGAGAGAATCATTGATTGGCTGCACACCCTTTACTGGGGATTGAGCCAAAAACCTGGGCATGTGCCCTGACTGGAAATCAAACTGTGATTTCTCCTGGTTCACAGGCTGATGCACAATCATTGAGTCACACTGGCCTAACCAGAATGAGCTTTTTAAAATATAACTTGAGCCTGGCTGGTGTGGCTCAGTGGATTGAGCGTTGTCCCTTGCATCAAGAGGTCTCCAGTTTGATTCCTGGTCAGAGTACATGCCCCAGTTGGAGCTGGATCCGCAGTAGGGGGCATGCAGGAGGCAATCTATTGATCAATCAATCGATTTATGTTTCTATCTCCCTCTCTTTTCCACTTTATCTAAAAATCAATAAAAGCATATTAAAAAAATAAATAAAATATAACGTGAAGAATACTCTCCTGCTCTACTCCCATCCTATCTAATAATAGAGAAACATGGTAATTAGCCGTACCTCCGCTACCCTTCCCATTGGCTAATCAGGGCAAAATGCAAATTAACTGCCAGACAAGATGGCGGCCAGCAGCCAGGCAGCTTGAAGCGAACATGAGGCTTGCTTGCTTCAGTGACGGAGGAAGCCAACTTTCCCCGCCTACTGCTGCTGGCTTCTGAGCTTGCAGTTTGAAACACTGTTACAAGTATAGAAGCTAAACAAAACCCCAGAAACCTGTTTTCAGCCAGCCGGGATCTCAGAGCTGGAGTTGAAACAGTGTTTCGATTATAGAACCCAAACAAACCAGATACCTGCTTTCAGCAGCTGAGGCCTCAGAGCTGGAGCCA